ATGTTTTTTATTTTAATTGCTTGTATTGTTATTATTGCTCGTATTGTTGTATTTGGCCTCGGCCTCATGTAAGCCGCACCGAGTCCCTTGGGGAGTTGGTAGCGGGGTACAAATAAAGTGTTGTTGTTGTTATTATTATTATTATTATTATTATACAGCAGCAGCAGCAGCAGTTAATAGTAGAGCAGGCAGGATGCATGACATTGTAGCAAACTGCCCATCTCCTAAGCTTGTTTATGTCTGCAACTAGCCAGACTGTTTATAAATGTGTGTGTGTGTCCACGTCTTAGTTACCTCTAGACTGGATTACTGCAATGCATTCTATGTGGGGCTATACTTGAAGACGGCCTGGAAACTACAACTTGTCCAACGTTCGGCAACCAGATTAATAACTGGGGCTAGTTACAGGGAGCGGTCAACCCCCCTGTTTAAGGAGCGTCACTGGCTGCTGTTTATTTTCCGGGCCCAATTCAAGGTACAGGTTATCACCTATAAAGCCCTAAACAGTTTGGGACCTGCCTACCTTCGTGACCATATCTCTCCATGAAACAATCTGGGCCGTTCAATCTCCGGGGGAGGCCCTCCTTTCGCCCCTGCCAGTCTTACAAGCTCGTCTTGTGGGCACAAGGGAGAGAGCATTCTCCTCTGTGGCTCCCTGACTCTGGAACTCATTACCTGAAGAGATCAGGAAAGCGCCTACACTAGAAACCTTTAAAAAGAACCTTAAAAGAACCTTAAAACCCGGCTCTTCTGGGTAGCAATGGCAAAGGTGTGGAAATGTTACACGTTGCAACCCTCTCAAAGGAGGGTTGTAACATGTGACAGTTTCTTTTTTTTTGAAATAATTTTATTGAACATTTTAAACACCAACATAGGGAAAGAGGGAGAACAATAGTAAAGAAGATAGAAAAGTAGGAAACCCAATCATCCCCAAAGAAAAAAAGAAGGCCAAATAGGCCAAAAATGAAAAAGATAAAAAATGAGAAAAAGAAAAAACCCCAAAAAAAACCAAAAACACACACCATTCTAAAATGACTTCCACTCCAGCCTCAGGATCTTCTCTAGATACTTCTTAAACCAACTTGTATATTCTTATCCTCTAGTACTTTTCTGTTTTTGTTTTTTTTTCATGATCATGAAAAAGGGTCCAATCTGTCCTCTTTAGCGATTTTCCGGTATTTTTTCTCATCAAAAAAGTTAATTCATCCATGTCTCTTATTTCTTTAACCTTATCCATCCATTCATCAATAATGGGAACCTGTTCATTTTTCCAATGTTTGGCAAAAATAATCCTTGCTGCTGTTGTGAAATATGTCAGTAATTTATCCTCGTTTTCTTCAAGTTTTAAGTCTGAGTCTGTAAAACCTAGTAAATAATACTCCGGCTTCTTCTTAAACTTCCTTTTCAATATTTTTTGTATTTCCTCATGTATTAGTGACCAGTACTTAGACATTTCTTTACATGTCCACCACATGTGGTAGAATGTACCAGTTTGTTCACTGCACTTCCAACATTTGTCTGAAACATTTTTATACATATGACTTAATTTATTGGGAGTCAGATACCATCTATAGAACATTTTATACCAATTTTCCTTTAAGTCCATGGCATATGTATACCTCAACTTTTTATTCCATATTTGTTCCCATTCTCTAAATTGAATGGACTTTCTTAAATTTTCTGCCCATTTAATCATACATGTTTTCACCTGTTCTGTTTCCGTTAACCATTGTAACAATTTGTTATAAAGTATTGTAACTATTTTCTTTTCCGTTTTTAAAACTTTATCCCATGTGTTTTCCTCCCAGTCAAAACCAATTTTCTTATCTTGTTTAAAATATTCTCTAATTTGTATATAGTGTAACCATGTTATATTTCCATAAGTGCTCTTCAGTTGTTCAACATGTGACAGTTTCTACTTGTTCTTAAAGTTGGGTTTTAAGACAGATTTTACAAGTTTTGGTCTCTTATCAATCCTAAAATTCATTTTAAAGAACTAATGGGAAATTGCAACAAGAACTGACACAAGTAACCTCTTCTTTACAAACAGATCATAGATAACCTTCAGAAAACAGTAATGAGCAACTGGAGCAAACTACTTTTTCAAAGTAACTTCCCCAGTTCTGCTTTGGGAGTAGTTTACAAGTAAATATAAGGGTGGGCACTCAATCTTCCTACATTTAATCCACCAATATTCTATAGAAAGAGCCCGTGGATACTTTGCTTGGCCTCTTATCAACGATAACAACATGGAAATCTTGCCAGTTTGTGTGAAAGTGTGTCTCTAGCCAAGTTGTTCACACAGTGTAATGAAAGAAAGGAGTACATTTCAGGTTGCCAGAGAAGTCTTGGCAGGACAAATCTTTGAGGACTAAAGACTTTATCGCGCTATTCCATGGCAGTCACACAATCAGCAAAAGCAGCCTATCATACGTCTTTCCATTTGCACACTTGCTGATTCACTTATCTGTATTTCCCAAACTCATACTTCCATGTAAGCTCATAATCCTACCCTTCTGCTGCTCCAAAAATTTCAATGAGATTTTATAATTGCAAGCATGGTTAATTAAATAAAGCAAATGTGACTTAAAAAAATAAAAAATACTACCTCCTAAATAGCAAGCGGGAGGCATGAAAAGAGTGGAGAATGCCACCGCGTGACATCTGTGACAAGAAAGTGGCACAATTGGTAGTATTCACAAGTTTTCCCTGTAATCACAGGGAGAAGGCAGACCCGCTTTGCCCAATAAAGTCCTCAATCATTAGCACTAAACAAACTGAATCCAAGAAGTCCTGGAAATACTGAGTTCCCTAAGCAGTTCCACTTTCACAAGTATCGAATATACTCGAGTATAAGCTGAATTTTTCAGTCCTTTCTTTTAGGCCGAAAAAGCTCCCCTCAGCTTATACTCAAGTTTATTTATTATTTTACTCTGTTATCATTATTATTTTTATTACATTTATTATTTTATTTTATATTTCTTATTATTATTATTAAATTTACATTATTTTACTATATTATTATTACACTTATTATTTTCCTCTATGTATTAAAGTTAATATGACATTTATTATTTTACTCTCTTTATTATTGCTATTCTATTACATTTATTATTTTACCCAATTTATTATTATGGCATTTATTATTATGCTCTATTATTATTTCATTTATTATTTGTTATTTTACTTTATTATTATTTTTAATATTAGATTTTCATTATTTTACTCTATTATTATTATTACATTTATTATTTTACTCTATTATTATTGGAAGGATACGTAAGTACATTTACATTGAAGATGGTTAGAATAATGGTTTAATCAGAGTTGGACAGTCCTATCTTCAATTACAATTTTATGCAAATATTCAAAAACAGAAGGCTTTCAATTCCCAGCAAAGGCTGGCTGTAGAGTTATGGAACTAAATTCCCCAACAAAGGCTATGCTGTAGTTCTCTGTAGAGCTGTGGGACTGGATCCCCCCAGCAAAGCTGTAAAAGCTAAGCTTTCTACAGGTGAAACTGATTCACGTCCTGTACGAATGGTTTCTCTGTGTGAACTGAACTAGAGGTCCCCTTTTCCTCTCCTTAACCCAGAAAAAGGGGCAGAACTAAAGAACATAATGATAATTGATGGGTTATTGGCCCTATGATTGCAAAATGAATTGAACTTTGGAATACATGCAAACATTCAATAGAAAGGAGAAGAAGTTGGAGCTCCTGGTACAGCCGTACCAGCACAGCGGGGTATAAATAACGTTTTTATTATTGTCGTTGTGTCCTCCAGATGTTTTCTCTCTCACCATTTTTTAAATATAAATTTTTATTAGTAAATTTTCTATAAACAGCATTTAAAAACAAGGTAGAGATGGGGATTGGGGGGGGGAGGGAGGGAGTGGTGGGGGGGGAGTGGTGAGGGGGGAAAAAAAGATTGTGGAAAGAGGGATTCGAGGGGGGAGGGGGGAGGGGAAGGGGTTTTTGAAAACGTCTTCTTCCGTTTCTCTTCTGTGCGGGCCTCTCTGTATAATTTCTTCCTTAATGAATATTAGTATTTCTTCAAGGAGCATTTCTTTTGGGGGGGGGGGMAGTTTCTGTTTTTCTGTAAGTTCTTTACTTTCAGCTTATGACCTTTATTTTGTTTTCTTTCAGCCATATCCTTACTGATGACCAATCYGTCATCTTTCTTGGTTTGTTTTGTATTTTGGATAATAGAAATGTTAGTTTGTCCATATTCATTGTATCTAATATCTTCCTTATCCATTCTTCTTTGACAGGCCTGGTTTTCTGTTTCCAGACTCTTGGAATTGTAATCTGATTGGAATTGGAATTGTAATGATTGGAATTGTAATCCAAAACATCAACATTTGCAAGTATTTTACCCTAACAGTGACAAAAATCCCCTTAAACTCAATAGCAGGTGGAGGGCCACTTCTGCCCTCAATCTGTCTCTATCTTAAGGATGAATATGCTACCAAGAAAAGAAACAGTCACATCTTTTTCTGCAATCAGAAGGATCTCAAAAATGGAGAGATGGGGAGAAGACTCATTTCCAAAATAACAACTTTTAGATGTCAATGTGAATTTGTTTTATTTTTTTTAAGTTCCAGGAAAATAGAATAAATGCGAGCATTGTTTGATTGCAACAGATTTCTTTACAAAAGTTGGAGTTTCTTATTATGATATTTACGTAGGGAGAGCCTGGAAAAATATTGTGCCAAAGCTAAAGACATATTACCATCTAATCCTCACTCTCACCATATCTTTGTATATGATACACACTTAATTATGCCCTGAGTGCAGCAAATTGCTTGAGACAGAGATAAGATCTGATATGATCATACAGCCCACAAAAACCCATTGTAGAGAGAGAATAATTTCAGGGAGAAAAATCATCCCAAATCTTCCACTAACAGTTTCATTTCACCGTCCATTTCACAACTCCGCATGCCTCCCATCATTATGTCACCTTGTCATGCAATCACAAAGGTTAAGGATAACTTACGCTCTTCTCCTTTCTGTCCAAAACAGCAGAACCTCCACAAGATCAGAATCTACAAACCCATTTGTCTTCTGCAGAAGAAAGAAAAAAATTTAAAACAGGTTACTTGAGAAGAAGAGCATATATGGGACTCCTTCCCCACTTTGTCAGGATGGATGGAACTGTCCACTTTTTTCCAGCACAGTTACTATATATACTCGAGTATAAGCCTAGTTTTTCAGCCCCCTTTTTAGGCTGAAAAAACTCCCCTCAGCTTATACTCAAGTCAAGGTTATTTATTCTCTTACTCTGTTATTAGTATTCTTTTATTACATTTATTATTTTACTCTATTATCATTATATTTACATTATTTTGCTCTATTATTATTTTATTATTTTGCTCTATTATTATTACATTTACAGTATTTTACCCTATTATTATTGTTACATTTATTATTTTAATCTATTTATTATTATTACTATTATTATTATTATTATTACATTTACAGTATTTTACCCTATTATTACTACATTTATTATTTTACTCTATTATTACTGTTTTTATTGCATTTTCATTATTTTACTTTATTATTTTTATTATTTTAATAATAACTACATTTACATTGAAGGAGGTTAGAATAATGGTTTAATAAGAGTTGTACAGTCTTATCTTAAATTACAGTTTTATGTAAATATCCAGAAATCTTTAGTCTATTGATGCCCCAATTAATGTAATTTTATTGATATCTATTTTTATTGTGAAATTGACCCATAGTGGATGTATTTCCCACCCTCGGCTTATACTCGAGTCAATACGTTTTCCCAGTTTTTGTGACAAAATTAGGTGCTTTGGCTTATATTTGGGTTGGCTTATACTCAAGTATATAGGGTAATTCAATTCAATTTTCCATTTTAACGGCCTGCGAGAACGTTCATATTCATTTGTAATACATTGACACAAGATATAGTTATGGCTGCCAATGTGGATGAATTTAAGAGAGATCCCAATAAATTTATTGAGAATGAAGTCATCAATAGCGGCATAGTATTTCCCCTCCAGTATCAGTGCACTACTGTCTTTCAATTTCTGGGGAAGATACATTGGACCGTAGACTTGCACTCAGATTTTCTTGGTGGGTTCTGCATAGGCAACAAATTGCCCTATGTAATCTTTACTGTGATCCAACATAGTTCTGGTTACAGGATTCAAAGACACAGCCATGCAAGTCTTTATCAGTATACAGTAAATTATGTCATGATGCATCTGATTAAATTGACTTATGTATCTGTATACTGATAAGTATATATGTACTGTATATACTCAAGTATAAGCCTAGTTCTTCAGCCCCATTTTTAGGCTGAAAAAAATCCCCTTGGCTTATACTCGAGTCAAGGTTATTTATTATTTTACTCTGCTATTAGTATTATTTTTATTAAATTTATTATTTTATTCTATTATTATTATTACATTTACATTATTTTACTCTATTATTACTTTTATTACATTCATTATTTTACTCTATTATTACTACATTTACATTATTTTACTGTATTATTATATTTATTGAATTTATTATTTTACTCTATTATTGTTATTTATTACTTTATTATTATTATTACTATTATTAAATTTCCATTATTTACTCTATTATTATTTTCATTACATGTTATTACATTTATTATTTTATTCTATCATTATAGGTAATAGTAAGCACATTTACATTGAAGGAGGTTAGAATAACGGTTGAATCAGAGTTGGGCAGTCTTATCTTAAATTACAATTGTGTGTAAAATACTCAAAAACATTTAATCTACGGATGATTCCCACTAACAGCTACATTTCTCACCCTCGTCTTATACTCGAGTCAATACGTTTTTCCAGTTTTTTGTGATAAAATTAGATCCCTCGGCTTATATTCGGGTCGGCTTATACTCGAGTATATACGGTATATTGCACTGGTGGCACAGTGGGTCAAACTGCTGAGCTGAGGAATGTGCTAACCAAAAGGTTGCAGGTTCGAATCCGGGGAGCGGCGTGAGCTCCCGCTGTTAGCCCCAGCTTCTGCCAATCTAGCAGTTCGAAAACATGCAAATGTGATCAGTAGGTACTGCTCTGACAGGAAGGTAATGGTGCTCCATGCAGCCATGCCAGCCACATGACGGTGGAAGTGTCTACGGACAATGCCGGCTCTTCGGCTTAGAAATGAAGATGAGCACTAACCCCGAGTTGGACACATCTGTACTTAATGTCAGGGGAAAACCTTTACCTTTACTCTCTCTCTACACACACACACACAAAACCTCTTTGGATAGCATAAAGGAGGGTTAACACCCCTGTGGTGTTTGTTTTGCTATCTGTGCCCCTATTCAGAAGATTTCGCCTCACTTTCTGTCGCTTTGATTGGATTTTGAAAAATGTGGCTTGTCATGGAAACAAGGGTTGGTAGGAAAGCTTCTGTGGAGAGACCTTTTCCCCATTCTTGGTAGGGGGTTGGACTGGATGGCCCATGAGGTCTCTTCCAACTCTATGATTCTATAACAATAACTCTTCCAGGATTGAATTTCCATTACTAGGAGTAGATTTCTCTCACTTCCTGTTATCTCTCCTCCATTTGTATCAATGAGTCATTTGTAAGTCGAATGTTTGTAACCCGGGGACTGTCTGCATCCGTTTTTAATATAACTACTTATGTAATCATTCAAAAAACATTTTATCATTAGGTTTCCATTTCATTCCATCTAGGTAACTGCTGAATGTGCTCCATATACTTACTTGTTGGGAGTTATGCGCTGTCGGTGAAGTTGAGATGTTGAAGGACTTCCTATTTCAAGTTAAAGCTGAGCTACTACATCACTTTGGACAGAATACTTAAAGGTTCTACGCCTCTGAGTCCCCATCTGCAAAACAGAAACAAAAACATGTGTTCTACAATGAGAACAAACTGACCACGTCCAATAAAAACAAATCACATAGCTATAGATCAGACCAGGGGTCCTCAAACTAAGGCCTGGGGGCCGGATATGGCCCTCCAAGGTCATTTACCCGGCCCTCGCTCAGGGTCAACCTAAGTCTGAAACGACTTGAAAGCACACAACAACAACAACAACAACAACAACAACAATCCTATCTCATCAGCCAAAAGCAGGCCCACACTTCTCATTGAAATACTAATACGTTTATATTTGTTAAAATTGTTCTTCATTTTAATTATTGTATTGTTTTAAAGTGCTTTTTTTACAATACAAATAAGATATGTGCAGTGTGCATAGGAATTCATTCATTGTTTTTCAAATTATAATCCGGCCCTCCAACAATTTGAGGGACTGTGACCTGGCCCTCTGTTTAAAAGGTTTGCGGACCCCTGGATCAGACCATAACTAAATAACTAAATAACTAATTACCAAAATAAAAGTATTTTGGTAATTCGTTTTGAGCCTGTCAACTTGTGTCAACCCCATACATTTCATAGGGTTTTCTTATGCTAGGAATACTCACAAGTGGGGTTTTTTTTCCACTTCCTTCCTCTGAAATATATCCTACATCACCTGGTATTGGTGGTCTCCCATCCAAGTACTAACCAGAGTTGACCCTGCATCTTTTCAAGATCTGCTGCCCTCAGGGTATTTGAACATTTAGGCCATATGGAACTCCCAAAACAAATCCCCCTTTTCCTCAACTTTCATCACCTCTTCTAATTCTGGCTAAGAATTCTAGGGCTGCTTGCATTAACATTTCTCACTGTTACGATAATATTTTCCAAAGCCTCCTAAGGGAATAAAAGAATGAGAACAACAAAAATAGCTGTGCGAGTCTAATGAAATGTAGTGAGAAAAGGAGTGAGGCTCACGATGGGGAGAATGAAATCTCCCTGGAAGAGGACATGGTTGGCCGGCACCCTGGGCTGAAGCACTGGTGCAAGGCAGTGAAACAAAACAGCATCTTGCTGCCTATCCAACTTGCTTCCCCCATGATAAGGATCTCCAAAAGGATAGATTTACCATATATTCCGGCATATAAGACGGCTGGGCGTATAAGACGACCCCCAACTTTTCCAGTTAAAATATAGAGTTGGAAGAGACCTCATGGGCCATCCAGTCCAACCCCCTGCCAAGAAGCAGGAATATTGCATTCATATAACCCCTGACAGATGGCCATCCAGCCTCTGTTTAAAAGCCTCCAAAGAAGGAGCCTCCACCACACTCCGGGGCAGAGAGTTCCACTGCTGAACAGCTCTCATAGTCAGGAAGTTCTTCCTCATGTTGGCCGTGTAGATGGGGCCTGAGTGACCTTTCACAAGTTGTTTGGATTCAGCTAGTGTAACAGGATTGGGATTATGACATTTTAAAAAATAGAAAATGAATGACCATTTAAGTCTTTCACTTTACCATGTTTTGCTTGACATAACAGTGCTATCCAAACTTCCATACAAGTATATATTTAAACAATCTATTTAAATGAATTTGAGCTAAACCGTCACATATTAATCTGTCAGCAGAACAAGTTATAGAGGCAGAGAGTTGGAATCATGTGGCAGGTGGAGCCTGTGGATGACTTTGTGGATCCATATGGCCTTTTGTACAAAGGAGGACACAGCTAGTAAAACGTCCTCTGGCTCTAGACCTTCACAAAAAACAGCTCCCATCTAATACAAAACAATGAAGGGCTGTTGCTAAATCCCCTTGTCTGTCATTACTGTTGTTGTAGCTTAAATGGTTATTTATTCTTAAGCCTCAAACACAAAACATTTCTGGATAAAAGTGACTCAGGACTATTCAGAGAAGGTGGTTCACATCCTGCCAACTAAGATCAAGCCGAGAGTAACATCTTTAAACCTGAAGATTAAATGTACCCGTATATTCCGGCACATAAGACGACTGGGTTTATAAGACGACCCCCAACTTTTCCAGTTAAAATATAGAGTTTGGGATATACTTGCTGTATAAGACTACCCCTCTTCCAACGCACACCAAATAAAAATGTTAAAAGCATCAGATTTGATTTCAATATTGTAATTTTCCTATTCTGTACCTCCTTCTCTGCCTCTCAGATCTCGCACCTGCGCACCTGCACCACTTCACTACAGTCTTAGGAGTGAGATCTGAGAGGCAGAGGAGGAGGTACGGTAATAGGATACAAGGGCAGGCCAGACAGGTAAAAGAGTTGTGTTTTTCTGGGCCCAGAGCCACTCTATCTCTTTTTTCTATACCTTGGGCGCCCCGGACATCTGCAGCTTGCTCCTTTCTTGTAGTTTGAAGTCATTGTTCCGTGTCCTAGTCTCCAGGGAAGCAGAAAACAAGCTTGCTCCATCCTCCCTATGACTTCCTCTCACGTATTTTATACATGGCTATCATATCTCCTCTCAGCCTTCTCTTCTTCAGACTAAACATGCCCAGCTCTTTAAGCCGCTCCTCATAGGGTTTGTCCTCCAGACCCTTGATTGTTTTAGTTGCCCTCCTCTGGACACATTCCAGCTTGTCAACATCTCTCTTCAATTGTGGTGCCCAGAATTGGACACAATATTCCAGGTGTGGTCTAACCAAGGCGGAATAGAGGGATAGCATGACTTCCCTGGATCTAGACACTAAACTCCTATTGATGCAGGCCAAAATCTCATTGGTTTTTTTTGTTTGTTTTTTTTTTTTTTGCCGTCACATCACATTGTTGCCTCATGTTTAACTTGCTGTCCACAAGGACTCCAAGATCTTTTTCACACGTACTGCCCTCTAGTCATGAATAAATAATTTCCACTGTGTGCTTTTTTACTTAAGAAAATGAAAATAAATCTGCAGTTTTTTCCTACCTTGTATCCACACACTCTCAAAGGGTATAAGGGAATTATTCTTCTCTGAAACACACATGTGATTTTGGAGAGAAAATTGTAGGCTTTAGGGAAAATTACCATGCTCTTTGCACAAAATAGTAGAAATAGCAAGGTGAAATGGTTAAAGAGCCACAAGAGGGAGCTGACATTATAAAATGATCCCTAGTTGGAAAAAAAAAACAGGATCTATATCCTTGAAATTGTGGGGAAATGTTACAGCAATGCTGTGATGTAAAAATAGCAGGGAAATTTGGTTTTATAAAACTCTGCACTTGCCTAGGAGGCCAGAATTCATTATTATTATTATTATTATTATTATTATTATTATTATTTGTCATCTCAAGAACGACTTGAGAAACTGCAAGTCGCTTCACGTGTGAGAGAATTGGCCGTTTGCAAGGACGTTGCCCAGGGGACGCCTGGATGATTTGTTTTTATCATCCTTGTGGGAGGCTTCTCTCATGTCCCCGTATGAGGAGCTGGAGCTGATAGAGGGAGCTCATCCGCCTCTCCCCGGATTCGAACCTGCGACCTGTCCTGCCAGAACTTCAGTCCTGCCGGAACTAAAACAATATGTCAAAGACTTCCCAGCATGGAGAGGATCATGGCTGCTTGCCATCAGGATGCTAAAGATAAAGAGCCTCTCCAGAAAAAATCAGGAAACTCTATCTTGAGCCCATCTAATTTGGTTGAATATCTTGAGTTGGGCTTTGAGACACTCGAAGTCTTGGGCTTTAATTCTTTGATGGAAGGTATGCTACTATAAAGCTCTATACGGTTCTGGTCCAGCTTACTTGTCCGGACGCATCGGCCTCTACGTCCCATCTCACAACCTAAGATCATCCGGGAACGCCCTGCCCTTGCTTTCGTCAACATTGCAAATACATTTGGCGGGGACGAGAGACGGGGCCTTCTCGGCTGTGGCCCCCCGCCTATGGAATGCACTCCCAAATGAAATGAAATTGACTCCATCCCTCCTGGCCTACAGAAAAAAATTAAAATTGTGGTTTTGGGTACATAGAACTCCCATGACCAACAGAAAATACTAGTAGAAGGGTTTGGTAGGCACTGACCTTGAGTTTAGGAGTTGTAGTTCACCTACACTCAGAGAGCACAGTGGACTCAAACAATGGTGGAGCTGGACCAAACTTGGCACGAATACTCAATATGCCCGAATGTGGACACTGGTGTAGTTTGGGGAAAATAGATCTTGACATTTGGGAGTTGTAGTTACTGGGATTTATAGTTCATCTACAATCAAAGAGCATTCAGAACCCCACCAACAATAGAATTGGGCCAAACTTCCCACACAGAACCCACAGGTAAAACTCAAGGGCAGCATGACCACCCCACAAAGATAATTTTAGACAACAAACAAAACAAAGTAGGTATCCAAATACATGCCAGATTGTGAGACTGAAAAGACCACCTTTCTGTAAGGACTGCCTACTTTCAAAGTGACCATCTTTCAGGTAACATTCGCTTGACAATCATGAGGTTTGCACCAAACGTGCTGCTTGTTCAAAAACTAGGCAGAAGTCGAATTGAGGAATCCATCTCATGCTTTATGACACTCGGGGATCGCAGAGTCCTGGCGGAGCCAGCAAAACAGCTTGCTTGGCAATGTCTTTCTGTTTGTTCAGCTGCTCAAGAACATGGTGGGGAATATAGTTACAATATGTTCATATGCCTACACATCACACTTCCTGTTGACGGGCACAGCTGCTCCCACCAAGAAAAGGGAAAATATCAATGCGCAATATTTAATAAAATTATTTCTGCTCTTTTTCCTTAAAAATATAAATAGAAAAATTTCATCATTAACGTTTCACGTAGAATCACAGAATCATAGAATTAAAGAGTTGGAAGAGTCCTCATGGGCCATCCAGTCCAACCCCCTGCCAAGAAGCAGGAATATTGCATTCAAATCACCCCTGACAGATGGCCATCCAGCCTCTGTTTAAAAGCTTCCAAAGAAGGAGCCTCCACCATGATATCGTATATAGTCGAGTAAATCATAGAATTAGAAGGCATCACAAGATCACCTAGTCCAAGTAAAGCACATCAGATGTCCAC